TGAGTGGTGTGTGGTGAGTGGTGTGTGATGAGTGGTGCGTGATGAGTCGTGTGTGATGAGTGGTGTGGTGATGAGTGGTGTGTGATGAGTGGTGTGTGATGAGTGGTGTGTGATGAGTGGTGTGTGATGAGTCGTGTGTGATGAGTGGTGTGGTGATGAGTGTTTTGTCTCGGTGTGTGTTGTCTCGGTGTGTGTGATCTCTGTGTGTGTGAACGAGTAGCGGGAGGAGCGGGAGAAGCGAAGCGAAGCGGGAGAAGCGGGATGAGACATAGAAAAGAAGAACCCCACAATAAGATGTGGGGAACAAAAAAGAAAACAAATCCAATCCGCAGCCGTTGTCGGCAGTCAGCTCTCAGCAATCCCGAGCAGTCAGCTAATCAGGGAGGAGTCACGTGATCACTGACACTTCCCCCTTAAGGGTCTATGCTCAACGCGTCCCGTGGGGACCACGCGCTAGACCTCAGTGGGACCCGGTTGCGGAACACACTTAGATCCATGCTTGCAAGAGCTAAATCAGTTTGGAAAGTCCCGAGGGCTAGTTGCTGATTACATTCGACCTTGACTCACAGCTTGCTCAACAAGTCGAAACTGGGTAAAGCTTAAAGTTGATTCGGATAATGTTAGAGGGTTGCAAGACCATGTGACGGGGTTAAAATAGAAGGTTCCAGGGTCGAAAAAGCGTGTGCAAGGGCTAAAAAAGAATGTTACAGGGTCAAAAAAGAATGTTCTAGGGTTGAAAAAATATGTTGCAGGGTTGGAAAAAAAGGTTGGGGTTGAACAAAATGTTTTAGAGTTGAAAAAATATGTTGCCAAGTGTGTCCCGTAAGAGTGTCCCACAACAAGAGTGTCCCACAAGAGTGTCCTACAAGAGTGTCCCGAAAGAGTGGAGTGTCCCAGGAGAGTGTCCTGTAAGAGTGACCCACAAGAGTGTCCTACAAGAGTGTCTCGCAAGAGTGTCCCACAAGAGTGTCCTGTAAGAGTCTGTAAGAGTGACTACAAGAGTGTCTCATAAGAGTGTCCCACAAAAGTGTACTACAAGAGTGTCCCGTAAGAGTGACCCACAAGAGGGTCCTACAAGAGTGTTCCGCAAGAGTGTCCCGTAAGAGTGTCCCACAAGAGTTTCCGACACGAGTGACTCACGAGAGTGTCCTACAAGAGTGTCCCAAAAGAGTGCCCCGCAAGAGTTTCCTTCAAGAGTGACCCACAAGAGTGTCCTACAAGAGTGTCCCACAAGAGTGTCCTACAAGAGTGTCCCACAAGACTGTCCCACAAGAGTGTCCTATCAGAGTGTCCCAGAAGAGTGTCCCGTAAGAGTGTCCCTCAAGAGTGTCCTACAAGAGTGACCCACAAGAGTGTCATTTGGACATATGTAGCTTTTCGAACGTGTTTGCATTCGGGTTCGTGGGCTCCATCTTGTTTCTTTGCCGTTCATTTTCCATAGTAATATCTTCTTGTGTTCCTTGTCGTCGTTCTATGCCAGTAGTCATGTTGGCGAGATATTCATGATTTAATAAGGGCCCTGGGAGTTTAGCATGAGCCTTTTCTTCGTTTCGTTTGGGGCAAGGTTGATTCTGGTCACCCTTCCTGGTTTGCCGCTTGCAGGAACGAAAGGCTGATGTGGCGGGAGGTCTGGTGGCGCTGGTACTATGGCCAAAGTGACTTGGAGAACCATGCAAAGAAGTCGGTAAGTCGGTTCTTGTGACCTTCTGGCTGTTTCGCCATAATTTTTGGGAAGTCAGGCAGGGCTTGTAGGATTTGCCACAAGGCGAGCTGAATCTCCCACTTTGCAGTTTGGCCAAGTCAAGGCCTGTGATCATGGGACCGCAAATGGTCCACACCTCAGACACGTTTTAAGAAAAACACATTTCTGATTATATATTTGTCTGAGAGCTATGATGACACTTTATTTTAAGTAACTTCTATAAGGCGAACCTTAGCGAATGGACATCACTACCCCTTGTGAACAAGAACGCCCTTCGAAAGACATGAATATATTAATAATATGTAGTATATATATAACATATACAGTATATATATATATGTTAATAGTTGATAACACCGGTGTCGTGTTGCGCATTGGTTTGTGCTCTCTCATCCAAAGGCGCCTTCTTGTGCTGATTCCACGACACTGCGCTCAGACAACAGCCAGGGCTTGGCAGGGCGCATGGCACTGCCCCGGCGTCACTGAACAGCATTGAACACAACATGAAAAAATATGAAAACATGAAACAACAAAGGTTCAGTTTACAGTCGACTTCTTTTTCCAAGTCTCCATAAAAGGCATTTTTTTTGGCTTATTTCAACATTTTCAGTGGTTGCTTTGAGGTTGGTATGTTGCGGCAGCTTTCAACATCACAAATGGTTCCTGGGATCCCACTGAGCTGGCTCGCATCCAGAGTGGTATTGCAGGAAATGCACAAGATGCAGAGGCAGAGTTTCTTTTTCTGGCAGACAATTTGTGTAGTTTTGCTGCTCTTATCAGTGCCTTTGGGGAGGTGACCTTTCCTCGCCGTGGTGCAATTCTGAGCTGCCGACTCAGAGATGACTGCGAGGACTGTTCTGGTTTCCTTGTGTATCAGAGTATCACTTTTGAGCAATGTTTTTTGTCACCCAAGTCAGCTTTCAAATACGATTTTGGCAGTTGATTCTCCGTACTAAAGGTCTACTGGACTTGGAGTTTGATCGGAGCCTGCGAGCAGAGATCCCAGAATCATCGGATACTGTTGGCGGATGCAAAAAGCGTTATAATCCTTTGTTTTAAATGCAGACTGCAGTCTAGGGCTGACCAAGTTTGGGTTTGAGTTTGTGATTCAATTGCCAGGCAAACTATTTGTATCGTATATGCTTGCGGCAACAGAACGTCCTGGGACGAGTTGGTATCTCTTGCCATCACTTGGAGGCTCCTGGACTTCTTGAGAGCCACGTAAATAGTAGCCTTATTGCTCCTAGTAGTAAGGCCAGGAGCCACTAAAACGTCCTTGCTCCTAGTAGTAAGGCCAGGAGCTACTGGTGGCATTCTTGCTCCTAGTAGCGATGCCAGGAGCCCCTAATAGCGTCATTGTTCCTAATAGCATGATCTGTGCAAGTCTATGACATGGCTTCAGCTTGTGGCACCTTGACGTGTAGGTAGTTGAAAAACCAATCCCGCGCGTGGAACCATTGGCTGCTTAGCGTGAGATGATGTCGCCTTCACTGCATTCACCACTGCGTTCAGCACTACATTCAGCGTGAAAATGCATTGCGTTCAGAACACAATGCGCTCCACCAAGGTCCCACCTGGCCCCTACACAATTCCACGCTATGGTCGGTGGCTTGCTGCCTTAGTTTTGGGATGGATTCGCTCCGTGAAGTTGAATTTCAGTGGTTAACAGCTGCCTATTTCTTCCTTTTAGAGGACCAACAGAACAACATGTCTACAATGTGTAGTTGTTTTTGTTTCTTTCTTGGCAGCAAGCAATGCTTGCAGCTTGACTTGCCTCAAACTTGCCAGGTTGGGTCCAAAGCTGCAATTTAATTCACCGTCGCACCAGGCACATATAATGAAAGCATCGAAGCAAAGGCAAGAAGCAAAAAGGAGCAAAGAACAAGGGAATATACAGTAATAGAGAATGGGCGAATGCGCCGGGTGCCGACCCCGACTCTCTGCGACGTGCACAATTGCAAACCACGTTGCTTTTGTTGTTCGATATCCTGAGAGGGCACAGCAAGCGGGCCTTTTGCAGATGGGAAAGCCAGAGCAATAGATCTAGGGGCTTGGAAAACTTGTTTTGGTGGATGGGGATGGCTGCTACAGTCTCAAGGGGCAAGCTTTCAACGTCAGACCAAGACATTAATTTATTTTTTCGCTTGACACTCTCTCAAGAGGTCTTTTCGCCAAGAAGCATTGCCCCTAAATTCACTAGCACTTTTTGGGTTGCAAGGCTTTGCACACAAGGTAGGCAGACAACATCTGCAATCCATCATCCACGGTCTGTCCATCATTCTCAACACATGGGTGGGGAGGGTAGTATTACACATTCCGATCATGGGTGCAAACACTCCATCTGCATTGGCACATGAGACAGATGACAGGGATCGGCACAGGTCTTTGTCGAGAATCACTTCTCCACGTATGCGGGATAAAACAAGCAAATTAGTTGCGACCAAGATAAGAACTATACTTTGCAATTCTCAACCATGTTTGCCACCGAATCAGTTGGGTTGAAAAAAGAGCATCGAAGCGCTTGGAATGAACATTTTTGTTTTACGGTAACAAGACCTTCATGGCCAAGATATAGTATTGCCAACAAGCGGTAAGGTTGAACTTGGAGATCAAGGCAGACCTTCCTGAGGCGCAGCACAAGAGACTACACAAGACGAGAATCTCCTACAGTGGACCTGCAGTCGTTTTGAGATACCTAGGAGACCAGCCAAGACCCCCGACCCTCCGCCGCGAAAACGATTCAGAATCGCAGGGATGTGTCGTTGGTGATGCTCCCCTGCCAATCAATTTGGCAGACGAGGCCTCACAAGACCAGCATGGGAGGGTCTCTATCAGAAGGAACTGCTTGTGTGTTGGATAACTTAGGCAATTTTTTGCTGAGTGGATCCATTCAAAACACTTTGGTTGCGTGCTCGGAGAAGAGGGGGTGTCGCTTCAAGCAAGTTCACTCGAAAGGTTCCAGAAGCTTCGCATGATTTGACACTGGAGGTGCACAAACAGCTTTGAACTGCACATGTTGCATTTGGTGCACAAAAGTGCAAACAAAAGCAAACAGCAGATTTCCCATCGCAAAGGAGCCCCTGAGTTTACTGCCGCACGCTGAGGGTGTTGAGAGTTGATGCAAGCATGCTATGCAACTTGCAGCCCTCAACCCAGTTTCATGTTGTCTGAGGCGTTCTGCTTGGGTGCAGGATGCCTCAATCCGCACAGTGTGGGGTCAGCAGGCATTTGGGAGCAGCGTAGATTGTAGACAAGGATGCAAAGACAAAGGAAAGAGAACCGAGAGGGAAGTAGACCTAAAGCATTGACTAGGCTTCATCAAACATCAGCATCAGCAAGTGTATTTGGAGCAACCAGTCAACTTAAACTTGTACACCCCGCTTCGCCGGAGTTTGTCTGGCGTGTTTGCCTTGTGGCAGGCGCCCAATGTGCTGCCAGTCTCGCTAGCGTCACCACTTGGGAAGGCAACAGCACTTCCACCCAGTTTTTGTCTTTTGTTATTTTTGCTGCGTTTCTTTACAGGTGGCTCAAATTGAACCTATTTTGTTGTCGTGTCGGTTTACCTTTTCCATTTTTCCCGAAAGCATTGCGAAGGGTTCTTCCGGAAAATCCTTTGAACACTTACACTTCGACACTCACACTTATGAACACTTACACTTCGACACTCACACTTACACACACACACACACTGGAAGAGCGAAAGCATCCAAGTGCGAAGTATGCCAGTGTCAAAGTATGCAAGTGTAAGTATGCAAGCATGATATGCAAGGGTGAGTATGCAAGCACGCAATGACTATGCAAGCATGCAATGAGTAGGCAAGTGTGAGTATGGAAAACTAGCACGGGAGATGTCCTAATGAAAAAACATTTCCCCACTTTATAAATTCTCTCTTAAAGGCGGAGTGCGGGACGAACAGCGTCAACCGAAAGTGCAACCCTCTGCGGAGATCGTGCGTGTCGAGTGCGCGAAATGCAGGTGAGAGTGCGATTTGTCCGGTGCGCGCGCAACCCTCTGCGGAGATCGGGCGTGTCGAGTGCGCGAAATGC